GGCTCATGCAAGCACATCTCACTGCCTGCCTGTTTGCTTCAAGATAGCAGTAGGGGTCTTTAAAGCTGTCTCTAGTTTTGCACGCACATGTATGGATGATTTTCTGTCCTCTGTGCGGTGGTGTACAGTGTGTGTTCTGCCACCAAACTCCTGCATGCCTCCAGTTCCCTAAACACTTCTAGAACCCATCCAAAACTCTCGAGTCTGATAATCCTAATGCACTGATATTATTTATTAAGTATCTGAGGGACCACTCAAAAACCAGTACCAGACACACTCTCTTTGCAACATCTTCTGTGACTCTTAATTATTTTAAGATGTAGCAATGGCATGGCAAGTATTAAAAAGCAAGCAAATGATTATGAGGTTAGTTTTACTGGAGAAAGAACTTTCTCTTTTCCTTTGGATTGTGGAGATCCAACTACCTGAATATCCCATGCTGCTTTGGAAAGAAGTGAATTTATCTGTTCAAACTGGATATTCCATCATTTTGCTCTGCAGGTTTATTATTTATTGATTTACAATTTATTATTGATTACTCCAACAGCAGGTAAACCTGTTCTACAGAACTTTCACAGCAACTGAAAAAAAAATGAAAAGAAAATAGATCTGTAATTTCAGAGGTCAGAGACAGAGGTCTACAGTCAACAGAAATCAAGTAAAAATATGCAGCAAGCTGTATTTTGCCCTCTCTTACACTAAATACAAACACATAATGAGGATGATGCATGCGAGAATGGAGCACACAGTGAGAGAAGTATGACAAACAGGAATAGCTTCCTAGGACCTCGGAGCTGGGAATCGGCTCTGCATCTACAGAAACCAGCCAAGCTGGGGAGGCATGAGAAGTCTTTTTGGCTCCAAATGCAAGGTGAATATACATCCCCATGCTGTTTTCCATCATAGATCACAAAATCAGAAGCCCACAGGAGTAAGGAGGAGCCAAGAACACTGCCAGGCAGTAACAAGTACATGCAGAACGCAGGCGTAGCGGCCACATTACCCATATTCTGGTCCGGCTTTAACCAGCCCTCTGTTAGCGGTGCACCAGCAATGCTAGCAAAAGACAAACAGCCCATGTGCTTCACTGAGATCATTTGTAAATACTGGATGGTCAGATAATAAATTTCAAGCAGAGTAAGCCTAATGGGCACTGCTGACTGTCCTGATTTACTGGATGTAACAGAAAAAGTGGCCTGTCTTAGTAAAAGAACAAAACAAAACATCAGACTTCCAAAAATACATGATAAATGCATACTGTGAGTTCTGCACATTTCCCAGAGCAACATATCTTCCCCCCCCCCCCAGCCACCACCACCAAAAAAAGAGGTAAGAAGAAAGAAAAGCTGCTATTTTGGAGACAGGTAACAGTCATCAAACTGCTCTAGATTTGGTCAAAGATGGAGAGCCTAGCCAAAAGCTCTTAGTGAAAATAATAAATATATTTTCAGCCTGTCTTTTGAAGGACAAGCTGTAATATCATCACAGCAGAGTTTTGACAATCCAACTAGCTTTCTATGCAGCAAGAAATAAAAACACAAAAAAGGTATTTAATTGTCAATACAGTCCTGTAATATCTACTTTGATCTGTTTTCTTCACATTTTGACTCATTCACCGATGCTTGAAGACCTGGGTTGCACTTTTATGTTACCTTCATAATATTAGCTAGTTCTGGAAATAAACCCATTGAAATAGATCAGATTAGCAGCATGAGTTTTTTTAAGGATTGGATCACATGGCTAACAATATATCAAAACTTTTTAGAAGCAGATATTCTCTGTCATACATAAGAGATATTATTTAACACAGAAATACGAATTTAGATAGAATATACTGGTGTTATGTTGCGTGTACTTTCAGTCTAACATTTATCCATCTGAGCTTGATTGAACCTTGGGGGATGACAAAGTTGAAAGAGCCTTGTTTCATGATACAAGACACTTGAGACTATGCTCAATTTACTAATAGCGATATGATACTGAACACCACTGGGACAGTAAGAAAATTAAGCAAATTATTAGAAGAAGATGGCAAGGATTGGCAACGGTCTAAAGTGCACATTAGGGACATAACTGTAGTTCATACTAGAAGAACATTATACCAAATGGAAACTCTCAATATAACTTTTGCTTGAGTGAAAAGATGTAATTCCACTAACTGTCAGACAAAGTCTCTTATCTCAAAAGGACCAGATGCACCATTACATAACTTCAAGAGACTCATTTAGATAAAAGTTCAAAAAAATGACTGACTGATTATAGCGTGCTTTTTGCTCTGCGCAGTTCTGTAAAGATAGGCTGGAACTGTCATTAACAGAAATTGCAAATGTGCATATCCTGTCTCAGAGATCAGTTTGGAGAGCTGGTCCATGATAGCAAGATTTTGGGGAAACTAGAAACGAATGAGATCATCATGATGTAGTTTGAGGTATATAGAAATCCAGTATTTCTTACATATTGTTTTTACGGGAGGACAATTTTGATCACACAAATAATAAATAGAAACTACAGTTTTCAAGAATATACTTTGAGGAAATGATCATTCCCCTTTCCCCGAGAGAGATACATAAACAGAAGCATGGGTTGCATTTGCTCCTGGCAGCGTTCCAGAGCTTCCTGAATTTTGCGAAAGTTTTGATTTGGATCTGTAGCCCCAGAAACGGAGACAAAGAGAAGAAGGAATAATCCCAAGATGAGTTTCATCACTAAGTGCTTCCTTCGAGCTGCGGTTCCTCCACATGAGTCTCCTTAATATAACTGAGATGAGACTTCTGAGTAAAGAACCACATGGATTGCTTCCAATTGATTTTACCCCCCACAAGCAATGAAAGGGTTGCTCCTCCAGTATTCCCACAATCTCAAATTGCCCAAAACTGCCCTTTTAGATGTAGCTCTCAATAGCTGAGATACCATATTCATCTCCCAATTTTTGTCATCTCAGAGTAGGAAGAAGAAGAGGTTAGGTTTTATCAGTCTATTTGTCACAGAAGACAAGAGGAGGAGAAGGTGGTAGAGAAGAATTCTAACTGCTGCTTTTGTCTCCTTTTCTCTATGTTACAAGGAGGAGAGCCTGAACAACTAGATTGAAACCCCCAGGATCTCTCAATCCAGTTCTGTCCTGTCTCTGGTGATAACAGGGAAGACACACAGCAATATTCCAAGTGCTCCTGCAGCCGTCCTGCTGCAAGTCTTCCTATAGCTGAGTCCAAAAAACTAATCATATTAAAACAAATAAAATATTGGCTCACCAGTTTTTACTTAAAATTGACACACGTAAAAAGTTTATCTTTTGAGCGACTGGGGGTTTTTGGCTTGGGTTTTTTTTTCCTTTTTTTTTTTTTTTTCTTCTAATAACTGTAGGGTTCTTAATTTCAGAAAATTCAGAATCCAATATGCTTTCACCATAAGTATGCACTAGATTATTCATGTTTATCATAAAAAGCATAACCTTGCTTATCTACTGTATCTACAGACGCTTAATAAACCTTTTTTGAATAATTAATACTCATAGCTCTCTTAACATCTCACACAGCTAATTTGACTGTTGATTCAACTGAATTGCTAACAGAATAAATGAATTGGGCAACTTATTTCTTATTCTTCAAATGTAATTGATAATTCATAATTGCTACCATTTTCAGGTACTGTAGGAGTCAATCCTAAAGAGACATAAGTACGCTTTACATAATAATAAAAAAACCAGTCCATAGAGGGTTTCTCATTCATGCACTGTCACACATACTACCTCCTCCACATACTGGCCTTCCTGTATATTTATTTAACATCTTAGGTGCATCAAGTAAAAACCTAACTCAGATAAAACACGTCACTGTTTCCAACCCCAAACAGTGTTGGGACAGTTTATCTAATTTTCTAATTACCTTAAATTATGTAGATACAATCAGCAGTTTCTAACTTACAACAAGAGAGTAAGAGGAGGATGGAGAGGAAACTGCCTGAAAAGGAAATACTGGTGTTTAGTAGTCCTGCCAGGTACCCAGCTGTCACACGAGACACTTCAGAGGTGCTCCAAGGCACTGCTGAGCGTCAGCAAGAACAAATCATTGATCCTTTGCAACAGAGATGATTAGATAAACTTCTGCTATTCAAAACATTGCCCGAACTAATTTCACGAAAGAAGCAAGGTCAAAAAATTCTACTTGTAAGACCAAGCCTAATTTACCAAGAATTAATATGTCTTCATAAAGAAATGCATAGGTGAAGACATCAGGTATTATTTTTCCAGTCCTCCTCCTCCTGATGGATTTTTAAGATGAAGAGAAATCAAATGCCTTTCTGAAGTCTTATTTTGTATTGGTGAAAAAAATCATACAAGGAATCCAACAGAGACATAAAATAAGTGGGAAAATGAAAGCAAGTTCACATGGTTGGTTTTTTGTCCTTAAAAAAAGTATGGTTTACAGCCTGGTTGGTTTTTTTGTCCTTAAAAAAAATCACATTTTACAGCCTGGTTGGTTTTTTGTCCTTAAAAAACTACATCTTACAGCCATTCAGGTCATTAAACTGGTCTGAATTTAAAATAATCAGAAGAATAAACAATCCAGAAAATACATGGTCTTAAGAGGCGTCTTAAAAAGAAAAATCCTCTGCTAGCAGTTTTTACACAGCTAACTAAGAAAGAAAATCATGGCTCTGCTTAGGAACTTCTCCTTGACATCAGCTGAGCCAAAATTTAAGTAGGACTTTCAGAGATAATGCTTTTAAGATGTAACAGGCAAGATAGAGTAAATGACTACCTGCAGTGGATCTGGATATTGAGGTTTGTTTAAGAACCAAGGAGATGAGAGCTTTTGCAACTACTTGATTATCTGCCACACCTTCCATTCTCACCTTCCATCCCTGCAGGGAGGTGGCTGCTGGCCCGGGGATGCTCGGGCAGAAAGTCGGGTCCGTGGTTACTGGGTGGCTGCTCACCGTTACCTGCCTCAGGCGTCACCAGCCAGTGTCCCTGGTGCATCCCCTGGCTTCCATCTCCTCACAGCTTCCTGATCTCCAGGATCTCTCCCGCTTTCAGGATCTTTCCTCCAGCCAGGAACTTCACCACCTTCTTTTCGGGCCCCCTTCTTTTTCCCAAGATCACTTCTTTCCATCACTCCTTATTTTCGGGCACACCAAGACTCACGCTTCCCCCAATCTAAACAGTTTCCACGCATAAGCACAAGGTGTGGGCAGCCTCCTAACTGGTGGTTCTGACTCATGTCTCTGCAGTAACTGGAGGACTCTGGACATGCCACTTTCATTTAGTCCAGGAGTTTACGATCAGACTCTACCAATTACAGGGAGCAAGCAACAGGCTTCTGCTCGAGAGCTCAAATGTTCAGATTTGGACACTAACCCCCCCAACATACACCCAACTACCTGCTACCTGTTAGTATTCATGATTTAAGCTATTTTTTTGCCTACAAGAATATTTAATATTAGCCTGATTCCACTTCCAGTGAAGACAATCGGATTAATTTTACTTGTTTCAATAATTTTCAGTAATAGAATTTTCCAAGGGCTGATTATTTGTTGCACATAAACGTATTTTTCTGAAGCGGTTCAACTAATCCATTACAGTTGTTTGCCCACTGGATTCAATTACTCGTGTGCAAATAAAACTCTTCAAAAAATGTTGTTATCATGAAGAACTCCAGAAATGTTTCTTGTGCTGATTAAAGGTCTGTCTGTACTACAAACCTCACACTCCTTTACAGAATTAAGGAGCTAAACGCATTTTCAAGCTTTGCTGGAACTATTGGAGGGAGTCATGGAACAAAAAATTACACTTTTTGTTAGCTCTTGCTCTGTGTTAATATTATGGATTATAACAAATTTTACATAACCAATTTCTTTTCTTTAAGTACATTAATAAGCTAACTGGTCAAGGAACTAGAAACTAGAATACGATCTGGATGAGGGGATCAAGTGCTC